AATAATGTTTATAAAATTCAATATTAGTCAAATTGGCTCGTTCCGTAAATCTAGTGTTAATAGTGAACAATTATTAATTATCTGTTAGCACGATTCTTACGTTACACTGTTATCTGGTTGTTTACGTTATTGAACATTTTTACTCGACGTCAGTTGCCTTACGAACTATAATTGTTTTCAAGGCATTTCGAAACTCTGGTCTCATGGGACCATTTTGGCAGCGAAAGTGTTAAACATTATTTTTCTTCATAACTGTTAACAATAAGCTTTTTCCCTTCATTTAAAAATCATTGAATGATTATAAGGATCAATGATATATATTCCATAAGAAGAATTTTAATTTTATACACTGTTTGTAGTTTAAAGTATAATTAATGTTGCTGCAATTAATTATTCCTTTCTATACAATAAAGTATACGTGTATATTAAATGTATTTTTTTAACTCTTTAATTAATTATTTTTTATGCTATATCATTGGTTCGTGCAGTATACGTGTATAGTGTATAATAGATACATACGTATATATTTAATCATTATGGAGGTAGTAATTAAATTATGGTAAATTATCAGTGTGCCAAGATGCTGGTATTATTTTAAATAGATACATTTCATTACCATCAACTTTCTCTTTCTTTATAAGTAACGTAAATGTGATAGAAAGGAAAATAGAATGAATGGAATGAAATTAGAAAATTCATGGTAAGGAGGAAATTCTATAAAACTTCTTTATGAGATGCCTATATAATTTTATCTATTGATTATGAAGACGGTTTAGATAAGAGATTCTTTATTTTCGATTGGTATGTCTCTTAAGTTTTATAATTGAACAAAATAAGTCGTGCATTCGAATCTTGCAAACTTGTTAGGTTACTTTCATTATTGTCAACGTATTTTAGACTTCGACTGCCTCTGTCCTCTTGCACAATCAACGAAATTCATATATTACATCATGAGTTCATGTTCTAATTCACTAATATGATAAACTTATATTTTATTAAGAATCCAGTAATTCCAGGTGAATATTTATAACACAGTTATGATGTACATAAAATTGTAAACTAAGATTTCTCATGTAAATTACTCTTTTAACTTTTCTGAACTCAATGTTTCAAGTAAATCCGTTTTAATTAGATAGTATCACATTCTCTCCCCATTTTCAAACTTTTCCAGTTTCAAATATTTCCAAACTTTTATTTCTTTCAGTGAATATTCCCTTTCTTTTCCAGACGTTTCATTCCTATTATTGAATTTTCCTTTTTACTCTCAATTTTTCATTATTTCCATCGAGTATTTTCTTTCTGCTCAGAAAATTTCATACTATTCGATATTCTGTAGTCTTGTTCTCGAATGTTAATCACCTATAAAACGGTGTGATTGCTTATTTTCTAGTGAAATATCGATAACATATTTTGCAACATATAAAGAACACTTCTTCATAAATTCAGGGACAAAACCATTTCATAATTTTCCTAATCAATCTTAAACCATTAAACAATATTTTTTCAGTAAGATTTTTTTAGTATCAAAATTATAGAAAGAACATAAACTTTGACACTTCTTTTCTAAACTAATAATACAAGAAAAACATAAATAAATTAGACTATAAAACAGTATTATAAATCAAATTACATAAATAAAAAATACAATTTTTATCGTCAAGAAAGATTAATGATTATATATTAACCACTTAACATGATGTTTTTCACACATTGATAATCTTGTTGCATTACGCCTATTAGATTACTCCGAAATGTATCATTCTATACAGAATGATTGACAAACGAAATAAGTGTACATATCAATGTAAAATAGGTAAAAACAAAATTCATCACAGGAGACTTTGCAAAATTTCTGAATTCATTTTCAGCGCAAGTGGTTAATGATAGTTAATCAAACAGCGACAGGCAGTCGTCTCTCGAGTTGAAAGGATTAAATCGCTTCGTGTTTTCTCGACGCGAATTCGATCGCTGCACAAAGTAATCGTTTCACCGGTCGCAATTGTTGATGTTTCGGCCAATTAGATTCGAAAAAGTTGCTCCACGCCCGGGAGAAAAACGTTTCTCCCGTTTCGCTCCCTTCGCCATATAGAGGACCAACCACGCGTAGAGTCCCTTATGCGGCTTTGTTCCTCCACGGGTGAGGTATTGTGTTTTTATTGGGCGTGCACACGTAACGCGCCTCTGATACGTACACACAGAGTGCGAGAAAGTTCAGGATTGATAACCCGCCACGTTGCAATGATAGAAAAATTCTGGGAGGATTTTTGTAATCAATTGATCGTTATATAAATTTGTGTCTATAAAAATTCTTCTACGATTTTTATTTCACAATTATAATTTATTGTTATATAAATACATTGTGTCTATAAAAATTCTTTCAGTTTTTATTTCACAACTATAATTAATTTATTGTTGGATAATATATTGTGTTCATGAAAAATCTTTTACATTTTTCATTTCACAATTATAATTAATTTATTTGTTAGATAATATATTGTGTTCATGAAAATTTTTTTACAGTTTTTATTTCACAACTATAATTAATTTATTGTTGGATAATATATTGTGTTCATGAAAATTCTTTTACAGTTTTTATTTCACAACTATAATTAATTTATTGTTGGATAATATATTGTGTTCATGAAAATTTTTTTACAGTTTTTATTTCACAATTATAATAATGTTCTCCAGCATTCGGCAAATAATACTTTTCGATCATCGTGCGTTGAATGCGAATATAGAAACCTGTTAGCGTATTTAATAAATTCACTCTGTTATCGTTACCCCTTTATTAAATTTAATTTTGTTGTTCTGTTCGTTACAAAAATTATCAGAACACATTTAAATATGTATAATGTTATAAAAAGATACATCATTTAGTTTGGGAAAGTTTAATATTTATTTCTTGCAAGACATGCATACGTAGCTTTTGCAATTGACAAATAACTGTTAAAGTTAAAAATTCAATGTTTTCGGAATTGAATTTCATAAAAATTTAGAGGCAAGAGTGACGAAGGAACACGGATTTTAAATTTATACTCAAATGCCGGAAATTCATGATTAATATCCAGTAGAAATTCTATACTGAAATTCATATTTGAAAGTTCACTTATTTAAATACACATTTATTCAAGTAATTGTTTATTCATTAATGTAGACATTGAATTCGTTGTTTTACCTCTTCTTCGTTGTCCGAATAAAATTTCCGTCGATATTTCTTTATCTGAACATCATGATCATTCATTTGTTTCGTATAAACACTGAACAGGTAATTATACAAATCCTTGTTGTCGTGAGCAGAATTTCAGGAAAGTCGAGTGAAGTTTGATTTTTCTCACTAATACTAGTTCAGGTAAATTATAAACAATTTCGGTAAATTAAGAGGAACCTCGCACCGTATTAAATTCTATTGAACTTCGGATTTAACTGTTCTCCGAAAGCTTTTATGAGCCATAAATGCATAAAGATCCGTGGACTGCGGACACTACTATCCACGAGTATTTGATCATTCGGTGGAATCGAAGCGAAAGTTTTATATCCTCGTTGTAATGGAAATATTCATAAGTAGAATGGATATCAATTTCCATACGTAATTGACATATGGAGGTAAGTGATACTAGACTGCGTTACACGTGAAAAATCTGACTAGTGAGTAGATGAAAATTATTAAATATTTCATTCATCTACATATATATACCCAACTCGCTGGGCAATAACGGAGTTAACGATTCGACGCTATCTAGCGACTAGTTTCTTTAATATTTCTCCTCGAATTCTTGTCTGCAGGCGAGATGTGTAGATAAATTCACGACTGTTTCTCCAATTTTCAACGGCAACAATAAATAAACAGAGCAGGGATTAAAGTTAGGCAAAATGTAATTTAATTGTGCATTCGGATTGATGATTAAAATGTAACTCCCTCGTTTGATTGCGAGTTTCGTGCAATTCTTAATTAGGAATCACGGGAATTCCCTCAGTTTTAATTGTTGAGTATTAATAATTAAGGATTAAAAAAGTAATATAGATTACAATCAAGTATTTCAATTGAATTTATTTTACTTTCGGTTCTTCGTACCTGTTTCAGTCAAAATCGATATATAACAGTTTCAAGCTGTTTGTAATAAGAATAACAGTTTAATTTTATTATTACAAAGGTTATTTTTAATTATCGTTAACACTAAAACTACCGAGCAGTTGAACTGACTTTTCGAAATTTCTCTATAGAAACTCCAAGAATCACTGAGACTTCAATTGATTGACAATTCAGTTTGCGTATTGCTAAATCAATTTCTTTAATAATTCCTCAGAGAAACATCTTTTTAATAATTCTTAATTGTAGTTTCAGTGTTAACCCTTTATCCTACAATATCGTGTCAAACTCACGATGAAGATTTCAAGCACAATTTAACAAAAAAAAAATATTAGTCAATTTGTTTGAAGACAAATCACATATTATTCTTCTATTGTCAATGATCATACCTTAGAGCACACATTGACATAGAATAACACGGGAATTTTCCCTTATTTTCAATAAATCATTAGTAACAAAGTAGTCGGACGGTTCATCAAGAAATCATAGGGCAAAAGGTTAACCCTCTATAAGCTGAATTTTTTTCGTGACCATAAAAAAATGTGTTTAGTATAAAATTGACAAATATCAACCTATAAATGCAAATTAACGATACATTCAATAGTTTTAATAATTTCATTAAAACGAGTATATATTGTCATAATGAAATTACAATGACGTTGAACTTTCACGCCAGAGCGTATAAAAGTTTCTGTTAACTAATTACTGAACTTTACTCGCCACTGTGCTATGGAGAATGAAATAAATCAACAAAATGCCAATATATTCGTATGTAATTTCAAAGTCACACAAAAACTTACAGAGGGTTAAGATATGAATGATCTCACTGTGACGCCAGTTCCACTGTCAACGTGTTCTTCCAGACACCCATTAAATTGTTATTTACAAGTGCGCTTATCCGTGTTCGCAGTAAAGCGGGGGCCAGAACAATGAGAATCAACGAAGGAAATCCTGTGGCGACCGCCGCGTTTTCTTCGGAATCGATGACCACTTCCACCGGAAGCTCGGCCGACGATTACCCGGCGAATTCAGAACTTCCCTTTCCTCTGGCGACGTTCGCCGTCGAGGACTGCGTTTACAGAGGCGAAGGGAATGCTAACGTCGTTATTGCGCTCCCCCAAGTAAGTCGATAAATCCTGTCCTCTATTTGACCGAGCGGAGCTCGCACCTGTACACGAAAGTGGCCGCTCGAAGCTGTGCTTCGACGCATTAACTCGTCAAGGACCAATGTTACGCTGATACAACATTTCAGTTGTAACCCTTTCTCTCTCCGGCCGATTTGCATTTTTAACCTGTTAACCGGCTGATATTTCGAATATAAACGTTCACGAAGACGTGACTCAAGGCGAACGACGATAGAACTGTCAGGCGAGTCTAAATTACCCGTTCCCGATTATTTTTCTTTATTTCGCTGTTACTGAAATCGTAAAGCTTTCGCGAGAAATCGCTGTATGACTATATTCCTGCCAATTCATTCGTACGACGTTCTCTTTAATTATAATATTTCCTTCGGTAAATCGTCTAAACGAAATATTAGAAACATGAAATAGAAACGAGTCGACGTGCTCCTAAATATAATGTCGTAGTTTATAGTTTCTAATGGCAATATCTATAGGATTCATTTCATTTTCATGATCAGATCAGGTTTAACACTAGAAATACCGAGTATTTAATACAATTAATATGTAATCCCTATACAAATTGTAACAATAGATTATTTTCAGTTTCTTCAGATATTCATTGGAGCATTCAAATGAAACTATTTATTTTCAAGGTCATTTCAAATATAGATTTTAAGATTTCAATCATTGCGAAACAAAAAAATCGGAACCGGTCATTTTGACTGGCACGGTAGTTCTAGTGTTAATTGATTGATAGATACAGCGTTAAGAAAGTATTATTTAAAATTTAAAATAAATTTGTTTAGTGTAGATTTTCAGAGATTCGATTACCGATTGAATAATTAATAGTAATAATTTAATAATAATTTGTTTGTATCTATCCTGTCTCTTTTATTACTGTCGGTTTATAGTTTCCAAAGTTTTGTACAAAGTGTTGTACAATAATTCCGCGTGTAATCGTGTTAATCCGCTGACTTATTCAGCACGAAATTTAACATATCAAATGTTAACGAACCTCGAAACAAGTCGTGAATCATAAAGATAAAAATATGTTGCAGTCATCGTTAATCCCTGGCCTCGCGGTTTATTCCGCAACCGCACTTACCAGAATTATTTTATCGTTAATGATTAATACGAACCGAATGGAGTTTCACTTTCACTGAATGTCTGCATTTATTTCGAACATTCAATGTTGACGACCGAAAAATGGTATTCCATTACGATCGCAGAAAAATGGACAGTATTCACGTTTTAACCCTTTGCAGACGAATGTCGAATGTCGCGAACAAATAATGTAATTAGTGAAACAGCAGGAGATCAGTACGTAGTTTCCTGTTTTCCTATTAATCAACACGTTCGCTACAAGCGTTACATATTTGTGACGGCCGTAATCCTATATTTTACATAATGAAAATGAAATTAACCCTTTGCGGACGAAGACTCATTAAAGTACACAAAACTTGCAGCATATGAAGTTAAATCATACATTGAATGCTCAAACAATAGAAAGAAAGGAACCTATACGTTGATCTCTTACGGTATGAGTCATTAAATCATTAGTCTACAACTTAGTATTCCAAATATGAAAATTAGATCTCTCCAAAGTGTCAACATTCGTCTACAAAGGGTTAATCCTAGAGATGTCATTAAAAACTATAAACTACGACATTATATTCAGGAACTCAATGACTGCTTTCAGTTTCATTTTTCTAACATTTTGTTTAGATTTATTGGATCGAGGAAAATATAATTAAGAAGACCATCACCGAAATAAGCGCTGTTAGCGAACGTGTCAACGCGTTCAATATCGAAGTGCAAATCCCGGCGCGTTGTTCTCTCAACGGTGTCGCCATCGAAAAAATTATTTTCACGCGGTAATTTTCAAACGGCGAATTATTGGCGGAACGGTGTTGGTTCGCGACTGGGCGACCGTATCAAATGGGTCATTTCATTCGCACAGAAATCAATGTTCCCGGTGATGTCATAGCCGCAGGCCTCTCTCATTGAATCGATGCAACGCGGGACAACACACGTTTCACGTGCCGCTTCATTAGCGGGGCCGCCTTGGTTCGCGCGCGTGAACCGCCACGCGGATTTCTCGCGAGCCATCTGTTTGTTTCAAATTCGCGAGCACGTCACAAACAGAGCGCGTACACGGTAAACACAGATTTAATTACCGACAAATTAGCGTCCCCCACTGCTCACCGGTTGTCCATAGTTCTCGTTAACGTCTGACGATCGCGACTGAATAACGAATCACGAGTCCACGGTTCCTGTGAACGACAGCCGTGCTAACGACAGTTATATAAATGGCTTTGTCCGCGGGATCGCCGGAGAAAACATTCGAACACACCTTTTGTGCGTGAAATTTCACTGGGAGAACACGTGTGCAGGGAACTGCGACCCTCTGGAAGGGGGATTCAGTGATAAATTGTTTCGCGCTCGGATTTTCGGGACACGAGACACGCGGTTCGATATTTTATTCGAATAAAGTGCCCCGTTGGATTTCATTTGTATTGTTCGTTCTGTCGTGAAGTTACGCGTTTCACGCGTATAATTCGTGCGGTTATTTCGAACTTGGTTCTTTTGGAATTTTTTCTTCTTTTTCGGTGGCACGTGGTTGTTTTAGGTCAACATTCGAGCTGATGATCTTCGTGCGAGTTGAGATTGGATATTTTATGTTGCGTCAATTCAATTGTGTCATTGGCAATTACTTTAAATTATATCTATGCGTATGATTATATTATGTATTCCTTAGTTGTGGATGCTGATTAAATTAAATGTTCTATTTTGATTTCTTTTAGAAATTTCAAAATATTGGGACATTAGTGAACTGTTCGGGTTACTTCTTTATTGTCTTCTTTTATTTGATATTTTCTTCTTTCCCTTTGATATATTAATGTATGATGTCATGTGTTCAATTGAGTTCACTGTGTTGCATCGGTGCACACTAGTTTGTTTTTGTTTTTAACAAGCGTCACAAGAATTTTAACAGTTTATACGTGATTTGTCCCTTGAAATTATTAGGAACAGTTATTAACAACGACTGCCACGGTGGTGACCGATGACCGGAGCTTTCAATTTACTTAAAAATAATTATAATTCGTAAGATAACTGGGGTTGAATGAAAATGCTTAATAACGTGAATAACTTGATCATAGTGCAACCTAATAATTGTGTTCCAAATAATTGATAAATGTTCCTGTTTATTTTTGCTACAGAGGAACAAGTGACACATAAAACGCTGAAGTTTTTCGTAGCAGTGAATGCGTTAATTATTTAGCATCGGAATTCTTACATTACACTATCGTTGACTCATTCATACTATTAAATATTTTCAGTCGACAGCAGTCATCTTGCATATTGTAATCCTTTTCAAACAATTCAGAACTTCTAATATTTCGCTTTCGCAATATTCTATATTGCTCTGCGTTTGGAAAATTCAAATAGCCAAACACGAGTTAACTGCCAACTGATCAACACTGTGTTAACACATTGCGCGCTGGCCCCGCGACAATGCAGGATTTTTAGTCTATCGTTTAATTGCTAATCCTACATTCATGTAACATGTTAGATACGTATAACACAAATTCAAAGTAAAATTACAAAATCGAATTCCTTATTCTCTTTCGTAAGTCAGAAATTTCGGCTCGATTGATGTTTAAAAGTGTATCGGTATAATCACCGACGCTCGCGTTTTTACTAGCTGAAATTCAGCCGGCGTACAATGTGTTAAAATAAGCAATAACACGTTTCGCATGCGTCGGGAATAGAAATTCGTTCTTATAATACAGATTCGCGTGGTTTTATTCGTCTTGTAGCATCGTTGCAACGTGCAGTTATCTCTCCGAGTGCATCGAACGGGTTCGAACGCTCCCCGTTTGACGCCGGAACGTCCTTATACAATTCGCGGCGTTCATCTATCGCATAAACATCCGCCTTCGTGCACGCTATGAATCGTAAATCACCCGTTCTCGCCCACGCTGCCGCAATTACGGCCATTCCGTATCTGCGCCGGCGAGGCATTATTTTTCGCGCGGCTCGTCAAAACGGCGATAATTACGTGGAACGTATCGCACCTCCGACTAATAGATCGCGTAATTTGAATCGCTCGTTTCTTCCATTTCGCGCCGGCGAACGCACAGTGGTCCTTAACACGTTGTATACCTTGGGGGCCACCGGTGGTCCAAATCGAATTACCGTAATTCACGCGATCAAACGACGATCGTTTAGAAATATTTCTGTATTATAAATAATGCTACCTAATGTGGCGATGTTCAGCTAGATGAATGTGCGATGATAATAACGCAATTCAATCAAATGATTTAATATTATATTTTTGCCATTTTGTGTATTTTGCTCTATGAAATCGTGCGGCGGTCAACGTGTTGACCACTTCCGCTGGAAATGAATTTAGAGGTTTGACAAAGTCTCGGGCGACGAATTTTGTTCTTACCTATTTTACGCAAATGTGGAGATTAATTTCGTTTGTTAATCATTTTGTATAGAATGATATATTTCGAAACAATCTAATATGCGTAATGCAACAAGATTATCAATGTGCAAAAGACATCGTTGGCCATTTTGAAAAAGAAATGTCACGTGCGTGACACGTCTTTCCAGCGCAAGAGGTTAACCCATTAAGTCCCATGAAATTTTTTTTTAATTTTTAGATGAAATTCTATATTTCGAGTAATGGGTGTCCATACTATCTTGGAAAAATAGTGAAAAGAATCTGATATATCCAATATACTATATATAGCATGATCTATGGATAGATCACTGGGAACATACGGTAACAACAATACAACATACTATAACAATTTAGAGTGAGCGATCTATTAATAGATCATTGGGACTCAATGGGTTAACACATTGCGTGCGGGCCATTTTGTTCATTTCAACTTATATCCGTTACATTCAATTCATTTATTTATTATTCAATATATTTCCGAGAGTTTCCATTGCAAATATAAATACTTTCAATCATACGTAAACGG